CTGTCCTTGCAAAGTTGGAACTGCCCAACTTTATAGAAAACAGCCTTCCCAGGATCAAGAACCAGCTCCTCCATAAAATGTGCTGCACACATCTGAATATTTGGGTTGAAGTGTTCTGGAACAGTGTTGTAAATACAACTTAACCATTGATTTCTAGTTGTGTCCTCTTTTGGAAGGCCAAACAAAGTAGTTTTGCTTTCATAACGAAACACATAGCGTATCCACGACATAGCGGCGGCTGCAATAATACTACAGCGAGAATCAAAGTTACGCCTTCTTTCTTTGCATGAACATTTGGGTGGTGTTATGTTAATCATCCCACATCATGATGTAGACATGTGGGGGCGTGTTTAAATGAGGCGTTTTAGGAGGGCGTGGACGAGTCTTAACTTTTATAAAGAATATCTCTTTGGGTTTGAGACTTTAGTCTTTGCAACTTTAGGGATCTTATCTATTCACGAACAGCTTGTAACATTCCAAAGAGAAAGGAAAACTTGAAATCGCATCATATGACCCCTTTAAATATTACATTATATATTGCTTGTTTTTTAAACTTTTTAATTTATTAATATATGAATTAACCACAATTTATTTTGTGATTCCAGATGTTTCAAAGAGTATGTTGAATAAAACCAATAGTTATTGGTCGGGAGGGGGGGGTAAAATAAAAAGAATATGATTTCAGTTACCTTTCGGATTTGATGTGTTTTTGGCACTTAAAATCAGTAAGAATTTGTGCAGATTTTCCTGCTTTATTTGTATCCTGCATACATCTGTACTCATTTTTTTCTGGTTTGGGGTCATCACAGGCTGAAGATGGCTGAGGTTATTTTTTTATTTATTTTCCGAGCCTTTGTTGCGTATCTTCAAAAGGAAGCTGACTTCATTTATTATTCGCTTCCTTTCAAAGATCCACTGATTGCAGTGAGACCACATGAGAGCTGGCATGATTGACTGTGTGTGTCCAATCATCATGCTTTATACCAATTACCTTTATACCAACTACCTTTCAATTACAACTACTCGTCCAGCCCACACGTCTGGCTTTGCAAGTGGACAAAAGGGCCCAGAAAACCCCCTCTCGCTCTGCCTGCAGACCTCATTTAGATAAGACACTGCTCCATCAGTGCTCATTACACTAAGGTTAACCTAGGCATTTCCTGTCCTTGGAGACCTACACAACTGCTAGCCAGTCATTATCTCGTTTGCAGTCCTACCTGTTGAATTCAATATTTTTTCCTTGTTTAAAGGTAAAACTTGTTTTGTGCATGTATTTTTTAAAATGGATCTTTTATATGGCAACACACTCTAAAAAATGCGGGGTTAAATATAACCCAGCGCTGGGTTATATTTAACCCAGCATTTTTTAGAGTGCATGAATTCATCATGGCTTGATGCACCAAGTACTTTTGAAATGTTTACAATTAGTTTCTATTGTAATGTACAACCATTTCACAGGGAGAAAGAGATTGAAAATGATTATATTCTTTCTTTGAAGTAAAAATATAACTTTTTTTCTTTATGATTTAATAATTCATGCTTCAGAGGATTCATATTCAATTATTGAGGCCATTGCATAATCAGGATGGGTTGAGTGAATGACTACGAGATGAGTTTGTGAATAAATGTTTATTTGCATGCTGAAATGTTTGTTTCAACCTACTTTAGATACTGCAATGAGCACCTGCCCTGCCCCCCACATGTCTATTGGTCAGCATGGTCTCCATGGGAGCGCTGCACAGTTCCATGCGGCGGTGGGATCCAGTCGCGACGACGAACGTGCGAGAATGGAAACGACTGCCCTGGATGCAGCATTGTATGTCACTTTCATATTATTACTCAATTTGTTTGTGAGACCTTTTCTGATTTGAGCACCTCAGGAAATGAAAATTGTGTTCAGTGTTTATAGGCTTTATTACTAAAATATCAATAAAATTAACAGCAGAAGCATCATGGCCTACCTATGGTGAGCAAGTTATTTTAATGATTTATATCTTATTGAAGTTGCGTTCACATAATTCCAGTCCAGACAAGTTGCACACCTTTTCCTGTGGATTTATATGTAATCTAGCATTTAAAAGTTTTTTTTTTTTTTTATTCAGGAAGGAGGCATTAAATTGATAAAAAATCAAGACTTGTATATTGTTTTAAAAATCTTTCAAATAAATGTTTTTTTTTTCATAAAAAAATCCTAAAATAAATGTATCACAGTGTCCAGTTGCACAACTGTTTTCAACATTGATAATAGGAAATGTTTCTTGCACCAAATCAGCATATTAGAATAATTTCTGAAGGATCATGTGAAAAACAGAAAACGGTTATTTTAAATTGTAATAATATTTCACAATATTACTGTTTTACTGTAATTTTTGAGGCAGTCTGGGTGAGCATAGAGACTTTCAAAAAATCTTAAATTATTTTTTAGACACCAAATTTTTGAACGGTAGTGAACATATCTGCATATATCTACAGTGCTGTGAAAAAAAATTTGCCCCCTTCCTGTTTTTTTTTTATTTTATTTTATTACGTATTTGTCACTCTTGAATGATTCAGATCAAACAAATTTTAATATTACACAAAGATAACCCGAGTAATTACAAAATGCAGTTTTGAAATAATGATTTCATTTATTAAGGGAAAAAAGCTGTCCAAACCTACCTGGCACTACGTGAAAAAGTAATTGCCCCCTAAATCTAATAACTGGTTGTGCCACCCTTTGCAGCAACAACTGCAATCAAGCGTTTGCAATAACTGGCAATGAGTCTTTCACATCGCTGTGGAGGAATTTTGGCCCACACTTCTTTGCAGAATTTTTTAATTCAGCCACATTGGAGGGTTTTCGAGCATGAATGGACTGTTTTGCCACATCATCTCAATCGGATTTAAGTCTGGACTTTAACTCGGCCACTCCAAAACCTTAATTTTGTTTTGAGCCATTCAGAGATGGACTAGCTGGTGTGTTTGGGATCATTGTCCTGCTGCATAACCCAAGTGCGCTTAAGCTTAAGTGGGTGTGGCTAGTGAAATTTAACTCAGCTTTCTAAAATAATGTGGTTAATCACAGTTCTTTCATGATTTAACAGGCGGGGGCAGTTAATTTTTCACGTATGGCAAGGTAGGTCTCGACAGCTTTTTTCCCTTAATAAATGAAATCATCATTTAAAAACTGCATTTTGCATTTACTTGCATTATCTTTGTGTAATATTAAAATTTGTTTGATCTGAATCATTCAAGAGTGACAAATACGTAATAAAATAAAATAAAAAAAAAACAGGAAGGGGGCAAATTTTTTTTCACAGCACTGTAGATATATGCAGATATGTTCACTACCGTTCAAAAATTTGGTGTCTAAAAAATAATTTAAAATTTTTTGAAAGTC